ACTGCAGCGGGGGAAAGCTTGTACTCGTCGAAATTACCCGACCGGGTGCTATCCGGACGACGTTTGTCTTTGGCTTGTTTGAAGGATGGTGGCGAGGTACGTCTTTCCCTTCTATACCCTAAAGCTGGAATCGCACAAGATTCTCTGACGCTCTCAGGACTCGAGCCCCACCGCCAGAAGAATCCATGCGCGGACGTGGCCCAATGGGAAAGACACTTGAAGAAAGCCGGATTCTCTGGCTGCGATGTCGTGATCGACGATTACAGCCACGAGGACTGTCAGGAGGCTAGTCTAATTCTCTCGACTGCCGTTGATGATACGCCCGCGGGTGAAAAGTCGCCGAAGATAAGTATCATTGTTGATCCTGCTAACTATGCGCAAGTAGAATTGGCCGGTGAACTTGAAGTCCAGCTCGTGCGTGCGGGACTGGCCAATATAACGCAGACACCACTGGAACGTTTCCTCACAAAAGAAGATTCCACAAACAGTCTGGATATCACGGTTTTGGAAGGATACAGTCCCTACCTGTACGATATAAACAAGCAAGAGTTTAAGCGTGTTCAGAGCTTGCTATCGTCTACGAGGAACCTTATCTGGGTAAATGGTGGGGGCGGACAAAAACCATGTCCCAAATATCGTCTCGTGGACGGACTGTTTCGAGTCCTTAGAGAGGAGAACCACAGGACAAGACTGACAATCCTCTCCCTGGAACAGAAGGCGTCCATCAAGCACCAGGCACAACAGATTGTCAAACTAGCGCTTTCTGCCGTGACTCAAGAGATTAGCATCGACACAGATTACACAGAGTTTGACGGCATGCTTCACGTCGGCCGCCTGGTCCACGCCGCTGGGGTCAATCAGGAAATTTCAGCGAAGAAGCTCCCTCAACAAAAGGCATTACGACCTTTCGGTGCTGGGCCCCGGCTCAGACTTGAGATCGGCTCCCCTGGTCTGTTGAACACTCTCCACTTCGTGGAGGACACTTCACACGAGAAGCCACTTAAACCTACAGAATTCGAAGTTCAAGTGAAGAGTGTCGGCCTTAATTTCCGGGACGTCCTGATTGCACTGGGGCGGCTGGACAGTGAGGCGCTGGGGGCTGAATTCGCAGGGCTAGTTACAAAGGTTGGATCCTCATGCCGCAAGTTTCAACCGGGAGACAGGGTTCTGGCGTGTTACCCCAGTCTGCACGCAAACTATGTCCGTCTAGAAGAAAACATGGCCGTCATAAGGATTCCCGACATTATGCTCTCCTTTTCGGAAGCCGCAGCTTTGCCAGTCGCGTATGCCACAGCGTGGATCGCGCTCAATCACATCGCTCGACTTCAGCAAGAAGAAACAGTTCTGATTCATTCAGGTGCTGGAGGAACGGGACAAGCCGCCATCCAAATCGCTCAGCTCCTCGGTGCGAGGGTCTTCGCGACTGTCTCCAATGAGAATAAAAAGCGGTTCCTTGTAGAGAGGTACAAGATCCCCGAGGACCATATTTTCTCAAGTCGGAACACACTATTCGCGAAAGGAATCAAGCGCCTCACAAACAACAAAGGCGTCGATGTGGTTCTCAATTCGTTGTCTTCCGAGGGGCTTATCGCCTCCTGGGAGTCGATCGCACCGTATGGTCGGTTCATCGAAATCGGGAAGAACGATATCTTGTCCAACGCAAAGCTCCCGATGTTGCAATTCGAGCAGAATATAACTTTTGCTGCGGTTGATCTGGCCGCGATGACAATGGATCGCCCACACATTGTGACAGCGGCATTGGAAACTATCTTGTCATTGTTAAGAGAAGGAAAGATCTCCCTTCCGGATCCAGTTCAAGTCTATGGCATATCAGACATAGAAGTTGCATTCAGGCAAATGCAGAGCGGCAAGAACTCAGGGAAGGCTGTTTTGGAGATGAGAGGTACAGACGAGGTAATGGTATGCTGGTTGCTCCCCTCCAAAGATGTGCGCTGAATGCTAGCTAACCAAGCATAGACCGTCCTGGAAACAAGACCAGAGTACCTCTTTAGTCCGGATGAAACATATCTCATCGCAGGTGGCCTAGGCGGCTTAGGGAGGAACATCGCTCGCTGGTTTGTTGAGAGGGGAGCTCGAGAACTGATTCTACTTTCACGATCGGGGCCTCAGAACCCATATGCTCACGACCTGGTCAGGGAGCTAGAAGCCAAAGGCGCAAGAGTTGCTACGCCTGCGTGTGACATTACCGACAGGGAATGCCTGAAAGCCGTCTTGTACGAGTTTGGTCAGACGATGCCTCCGATCAAAGGATGCGTCCAAGCATCGATGGTCGTTAGTGTAAGTTTAATCTCTCGATATCAAAGAACGTTCACTGACATCTTTGCTCTCATAGGACGCTCATTTCGAAGGTATATCTTTCGAATCTTGGAAGGCTTCTACCACGCCTAAAGTCCAAGGCTCGTGGAATTTACACGAGCTTCTTCCGAGAGGAATGAATTTTTTCGTGTTAATGTCATCTGTTGCTGGAATATACGGCGCACGAGGAGCATCTGGTTACGCCGCTGGCAATACGTTTGAAGACGGCCTAGCCCGGTACCGCATTGCACTGGGCGAGAAAGCTGTGTCGTTTGACCTTGGAATGTTTCTGTCCGTTGGTGTCTTAAAAGACAACTTGGCACTCCGAGAAAAGATGTTGGCAAGTACTGTCTTCCATCAGATCACAGAGTCTGATCTCCACGCGCTCCTGGATATCTACTGTAATCCAAGTCTGGACGCAATTCCATTGTTGAGAAGTCAGACAGTGGTTGGAATGACACCAAAACTGCGGGAGAAAGGCATGACAACCACCGAATGGATCAAGCGACCATTCTACCAGCACATGACATTGGTCGAAGGGACGGACGCTGGCATTCCTGGGAAGGCGGAGCATACCAATTTCGCTGCCCTCTTCGCAAACGCTGGATCCGTAGCCGATGTCACTGCAGCAGTGACAGAACAGCTGAAGAACAAGCTTTCCAAAATGCTCTCATTACCGCTTGCTGATATAGACGTCGACAAGCCCATACACCAGTACGGAGTCGATTCCCTGGCGGCAGTGGAACTGCGGAACTGGTTCTCGAGAGAACTCCGCGCAGACGTCGCCATTTTTGACATCCTCGGGGGCGCAAACATTGCCTCTGCCGTTGGACTAGCGGTTCGGAAGAGTGAATACCGAAAAGGAGAATGGGGATCGTGACCAAGTAGGGCGCGTGCGGAGAACAGCGTGGAGCCGGTTGTATACCTTGGTCGGGGGATCAGCCCCCTTCACCTATGAACGACATGCATTCGGGTTTATAAACGATCATCGCTGGCCAGGTACTGCTATCGGTCTCTGACGGCTATAGATGGGCGGGTTGGATGTCGGATATCTGCTGCGTCGGCTATCGGTTTTTGATTTTCGGCAATTGATCGGAGCCGGAAGTATACAACGCGATACTTTGTATAAGACAACGTCCACGGAACACAACCCGTAGCCCTAGAATATAGCTCGAAAAGAATCAGAAGACGAAATGACGTCCAAATATCGTGTTCTCCATATAGGCGATAACATCAAGTACAACCACGATGTTTACCAGCGCTTCGCCTCGGAATTCGAAATCATCCAGCCCACGGCCGCGGAGCGCGAACGGGGCGAATTCATGCGCGCCTTGAAAGAACGTCGCTGGGGCGACTTTCATGCAATTTTCCGCCCCTTCTGGAATACAGGAGGTGAAATGGGCCGTTGGGACGCGGAGCTCATCCCCCTGCTCCCGCCATCAGTACGCATCATGGCCTCCGCAGGCGCAGGCTACGACTGGGCCGACGTAGATGTCTTCGCACAACACGGTGCGCTTCCAACCGAGCACCGAGGCAGAATCACCTAGCTAACAGTGACGAAAGGAATCGTATACTGCAACGGCGCGGCCGCCTCCTCGGAATCAGTCGCCGACATGACCCTCTTCCTCATCCTTGCCGTCTTCCGCAACCTCGCCTGGTCACACCAGGCCGCGCACTCCTGCAACCCGCAACGTTTCCTCGATGCACACAAGAACTCCCCGCTGACAGCGCTGAACCCGCGCGGCCGCATCCTAGGCATCATCGGGCTGGGCCAGATCGGGTACACGATCGCCAAGAAAGCGCACGCCGCCTTCGGCATGCAGATCGCGTACAACGATCTAGTTCGCAAACCGGCCGAGGTCGAGAACGCCGTGGGCGCGCGGTTCGTGGGCGAGCTGGACGAGTTGCTGGGGTTGGCGGATTGCGTGGTGGTCGCGACGCCGTTTGCGGGGCGGACGCTGATTGATGCGGAGAGGCTGGGGAGGTTCAAGCGCGGGGCGCGGTTCATCAATATCGCGCGGGGATCATTGGTGGATGAGGAGGCGCTGCTGCGGGCTCTGGATGAAGGGCAGATCTCGGCTGCTGGGCTGGATGTTCATGCTGAGGAGCCGTATGTGCATCCGCGGCTGGCGAGGCATGGCCGGGTGATGATGATGTCGCATAATGCTGGGGGTACGGTTGACACGCATGTGGGGTTTGAACGGTTGGCGATGGAGAATATCGAGGAGTTTTTGCTGAGAGGGAAGGCTTTGACGCCTGTGAATCTGCATTTGATTAAGGCGCCGAAGAGTATGCTGTGATTGATTGCTTAAGATTCCTTGCTTGCGTGGCTGGATACACTGGTAGACTAGATGTTGCAGCGCTGCTTGGAGACTTAATCATGACTTTCAATGACTCGTCTTCAGGAACCTGCTGAATTTCGTCTGAAGTATGGTAGATGTAGCATGCGGGAGGAAAAAGCCGATGGATGAAGATTCAGGAACCAGGATCTGTGGTGGTCCAGACCTGGCGAAAAGGGATACCCACCCTTTACCCGTTTAGGTAATTCTACACCTGATCGGGCGTTGCAAGGGTCGTGGCGCGGCTTTTCACCTCATTTCAAATGGAAATATTATTACTATTGGCTAATGTACTCTATTTTATTGAGAAACTTCAAATTCGTGCTTCAGCATAGTCATCCCAACATGACTGTCGAATATGAATCAGACGACATCATCTGGTTCGATGACGATGAATATATCGGCGCGGAGGTCTCATTTCCCTCTGGTTCAGCGTGGAATCTAAGCTCCAGGACAAGGGAACACGCGTATGATGAAGCTCAGGCAGATTGCGAGGACTTTGACATTCAATCCGAGGCGCGTGGCTTGCTCGTCTGGTTCAAGGTATCTGGAAATGGCCCACCGACTGCTGTCATCAAAATTCGTTTGCAGTGAGTGTTACAATGAGACCATGAGAGATACCTATAGATTAGGTTTGATGGTTAGGATCCCATGGTTCAGGACAGTAAGGAAGACGCCCGAGGTCCGCGCTGAGCAGGCTACTTCAGAATTGCCTAGCAGCTGGAACTCGGAAATCGAAGCCTTGACCTAGTTGACAAAGGCCCGCTGCTCCAGCTCCCCTGCTTTGCTTGCCTGCAGATAAGCAATCTTACAGTGGATAGGTCCCTGGGGGCTACGAGGAGTATATTCAAGGAGAAATTACCGGGTTCTGACCCCTCGGGTTCATTTTTCACTAGTCAAATGCCCCTTGTTGAACGGGATTGTTTGCGGATGGCTTTCAAGGCAGCGTGACTGTGAGTATTTGCTCTGATTTTCAACATGTCCAATAAGAATGATCCCAACTGGGGGCTCCCCGCCATTTAGATCATGGGGAAGATAAGCTGGTGGTTATTTACAGTGAGACAGTCCGTTGCGGAATACCGCATGCAGATGGGGCAATACGTAACCTCCTTCGGGACGAGGAAGCTGATAAATGGTGGGTCCCCTTGAGGAGTTCGCCAACTCTGTGGCCAGCTACCTAGTTGATTGGGAACACTGGCACTTTGCAGATGAGAAATCTGTTTGAGAAGACCGTTTCTACATTAGATGGAATCTCGCACGAGAAGGGACCGTCGCACAATCTTTTTGATATGTCTGATTGGCCTTGTGTATCGATGTATGGAGTCGTAAACTTGTAGCGACCTTGGCTGAGGTCTTCAGGATGCAACATGAGACTCACGGCCAGCAGTTTTGATTTCAACAGATGTCAATGGTCAACGCATTCCAGGTAGATTACGAGTTTCGAGAGACACACAGAGGTCAGTTGGACCGGCTATGTTAGGTTATTAATCATTCGTCAAAACCCAGTTGATTCTAGCTAGTCTAGTGCATGTTCTACCAGGAAAATGTATCCTCATAAAGATCGACCAACTGCCCGTTCTGACGTTCTCGAACGGCCTGTCTCACGTCGTCGCCCAGTCCCCCCGGGCCGCAAACACTGACGGCCATCGCACCGACTTGTTGCGCCATCTCGACATCTAACACTTCCGCAAACGATGGTTTGCCGTACTTGATGCTAATAGACACTGTTGATGGTGGTGATTTGGTCCAGGGACTCTCGTCGGATAAGTATTCGTCTGTGGTATACCCTTTCGCTGTCACGTACACTTGAATTGATAATGAAAACTCGGGAAGCTGAAAGTATGAGGTTTGCTTGCGCTCGTTCGGGGCTTCGACGGCTGGATGGTCGAGTAGAGAGGCCATCCACGGCTGGATCCAGTCCAGATGTTCTAAGTGGGGTTAGGCCATGTTCGTTTGCTCTTTGACCTGTAGAACATACCTAGGTGGCGCACAACCCATACCAAGGTGACTCTCCGCACCGCCATCGACCGGTCGGAAAAGCCATCGGCAAACTCACGCAGGTAAGAAAGTGGGTGAGTTATCCCTATTCCCCCTGCTATGAGCAGTACCGTACCATAAGAGGCAAGAGAGTGAAGCCCCCCTATGTTCCACTATGTAAGCATATCTCCCTCAGTGAATCAACTCATAGTACATATACATACCAAATGGCCCTTCTGCCAACGCAGTCGCGTTGAACTTCCCTTCCTCAGAGCTGTGAACCCTCCTCAAGAGCTTGTTTGTAAATCCATCTCGCCGCTTGATCAGGAATGACATGGTAGTCCGCTGCGGTCCCCCCAGCAAGACATTGAACGAGTCGCTCGAATCGCGCTTTTCGCTAGTAGTCATCCGATCTGAAGATGTCCATGCCACGGAGAATGGATGCGAGGTCCATAGTCCTAGCGACGGGATATAGAGGTACATATACTGTCCGGCCTTGAATTTCCAGGGACGCGACACGGCAACCTCGACACGGGCGACGTCTCCAGGCAATAGTTCAACGGTAGCAGAAGTACGCTGTTTGCCGCAATTCCTCCAGATAATGCTGACGAGACGTGCAATCCTCTGAAGAGAACCATGAGTAGTGCGAACTTGATGTCCAAGGGCAGATACTCACATCAAGACCCCAAAGGATCAACGTAGCCAAAAGAACCCTCTGCTGGGCCAAGCCACGAAGATGATACCATAGCCCAACAAATGACATGACTGCGAGGAATATATGAAAATGAAGAAAGGCTTCGTAGAATGCATGCCGAATTGGTGATACTGATTGAAAGAAAATAACTACAAATGCAATAAGAGCCTACCATCAACGGCCGTTAGTGATGCCTACTGGTAAACCATTCGCCAAGACGGATCACTTACAATCATTCCATATACATAGAAAGGATGACTCCAAAGTTCGTTCGTGATCGCGTCCATAGATACTGTCTCCCTTGTCAGCAACGGCCATCATTCGAGACGGCTGAACCACCCACCCTGCGTGGCCTGCGCCCCAATGACACAACCCATGTGAATAAGGGCCCCAGCAATCATCACCCGTCCGACCCAGCGGTGCAGGAGATTAAAAGTGTCAAATGGAATGCCCAGAAGTGGGATGAGGGGATTGTTCCGACCCGCGGTCAAGACCAGCGCAGGTGAGTTCATTACTGCTAGATGTCCGGCGGCATATTTCAATTGGTACATCTTTTCTTGATAGTCCGTCCACCAGTCGACTAGGACGAACAAGAAAAGCAGGTTGGTCGTGATATATCCCAGAAGTAACGTAGCCTCCAGTCGTAAGGGTATGCTTCCCATATGAATCCTGTTGAGCAGTCGAAATTCGCGACTGTGCCGTTTGTAAAACAACGGTGCATAGAGGACATGCTTCTTGATCCAGGCAAAGATGGTGCTGGTCCGCGAGAACTTGCTCTGGTCATCTGTCTGAAGAATCTCACGTAAACGACGGCGATGCTGAACCCTTATGACCATCCGACACAGGAATAGAACGGTGAAGGCCCCGCTGAGGACAAACAGAGGTGTCGCCAATACCGGGTTCATGGGACGATGAGGGTAGCCGGGGTGGGAGTGGTCTACCCCTGGTCCTCCGAGTTCTACTCCCATTTCCTGAGTTCAAAAGAAACATTCAAATCACAAGTTGAATGACGGACGAACGGAGTGGGTCGAAGTATAGCAGCGGCAAAAGCTGCACATGCGCTTCCAAACTGGCGAAAAGGCCGCGAATAGAAGAGAGTTCTTGCAGAAGTTAAAGCAGTCAAATCATGGACTCAAAACACCAGGTCGTGAACAATAAAAATAGTTCCAGCCATGACGTGAGAGTCCTTCTACAATGGCCTCTCCTCCTGATGCCGTCATCCACCATCCCGCAGTCATCATGGAATACGTAGTAACGCAAAGAGTCACCCAACAAGCTACAAGGAAGACTGATGACAAAAAGATCAGCGTCAGTGAAGCAAGCTAGTGCAACCATGGAGAATGTCGGGAGTTGATGTCTTACTCAGCTGAGCTTCGCTCTGGAATGTGAGAGACTTGGAGCGTGGAGCCCGTCTAGATCATAGCGGAGGTCCCTATTATTGCCCGGCCTCGAAACGAACCCAAACCATCATTCGAAATTCAATGACTAATCTTACACAGCATTGTCGACGGCTGGGATTTCTGGTCAAGTTATTAGCCGATGTCTTAGACTTAGATTGAATTATCGGAGTCTGTGGATGGGCCCCTACTCTCCGATGGAACGGTAGCTCCGAAAACGGAAAGTCATGCAGGATCGCCAGATTCCGCGAATACCGAAAGCTTGATTGCTCGCCCTGAGCACAAGTCTTGCTCCATTATTCGGCAAGAACTGACGCTGAAGATGCCGACGGCCTCGTCATCTTGCAGGTTCTGACCCTATGACGAGGAGCTGCCTGCCAGCCTGAGCTTATCACGAGATGACATTCCTGTCATCCGTCTCTTCTGGTCCACTGTAAAGCAATCCAAGATGTAGCTTGCAGCTGCTCGCCGAGCTCTCTTGTTGGCCAGCAGGGATCCCTCTATTTACCAGCATGTCAGTCTAACCAGGTTCACTCTGTATTAAAAGTTTCTAAGCCACAGACGTCGCATCGTCATCCTAATCATACCAGAGCATTCACATAGCAGTAAGACTCATGATGTAAGCAAAGAAAGACCCTTTACTGGCTATATTTGTTGTTGCACAACGAGACGGAGGATGCAACGAGCCAATATTGCAACATTGCTGATTCAGAATCGTATGAAAAGGCCTAGGCAACACGCAACGCGCGCTTAGATAGAGAGTGAATCCCCAGTCTGGAGTCGAAGAGCCAACAAGACTTTGTGTTCTGAGGTCGATGATGTCGGTAGGCAAGCGTGAATACCACCGTAGTCTCGAGATCCAAACTGTAAATATACAGCGCGGAAGGGCGACCCGAATGCCACCTTAGGGAAGAGCAAAGACTTCATCACGATTGATACCTTTATCGATAAAAAATATCGAAACGCCCCAAATTATCGTAATTCAGCACTTGGATGAATCCAAGAGAGCATAACTTGATTGATAGCACACGAAGAGTGGGATGTTTGAGTCTGACTGCCATCGAGTGTCGCTAGGTAGGATCACCTTTGGTTAGTCATCAGGTAGAAAGGAACCACTCATGATACCACCGAACCATAGACCTCACACCCACCATGATCACTGGCCCAGGGGTATACCCGACTTCCAAGGCATCCAGAGCCATGGCCCTAGATGCGCGTGCGTGAAAAGTCAAGTCCCCATACTGAAGTTCTCTATTGGCGATCGTAAATTCCCTCGTGACTCAGAGGATCTTTTCGAAATGAGATCAAATAATACTATCTAGGGGTATTTGGGGAACACGCGTCGCGAATAGCTTCATGCGTAAGTCCAGTCTCATGGGATACTGGAGTAAAGTCTGATTCTTCAATGACGCAAATTTCATGTCATACAAGATAAGGGGTGAAGACTGGGTAGCCACGAGCGCCCCTTCCCCGATCCATGTAACCCTGCCACATTACATCTGAGATCCATATCCATCAATAAATAAACAGGAATGAGGATTATTCATGAGTATCATGCATTTGGAAGGCACATCTTGGTTAACATGACAGAGACCTGAGAGAAGACCTTTCACAAAAGACCCACCAAGAGAGAAACGCCTTGTATATGGAAAATTTTCTATCCAGGGATTTTACGGAAGAAAAATGCAAAGCCGAGAAAAAGGGATCGGCTCCAGTGCTGCGTGGTAGATGCACGAGCCTCAATCCAGGCCGGATCCTTTGCCAGGTTGACTGTTCTGCTCACCAGATTCCAAGCTTCTGGCGTCAGCTTCATCATCACTCCGACTTATCGGAGAGGACTGGATTTTCGGAGGCTTCCTCACTGACACCAGCGAAACGTCTCTTGGCGTCAATGGCCTGCTTGGCTTTAGATTTTTCCTCCTGGACACAGGAATAATCGGCCACATGCACACCAGCTGTCTGACACAATGACGTGCATTCGGTTTCAATCACTTTGACAAGGTTTGATGTGAAGCCGTAAAAGGCCGGGTTATAAGCGTTGCGAGCCCAGTAAATAAGCTCTGATGCAACACGACCCAGATTAGGAATCGGATGAGGGATGATATTATTGTCGCGCCGCGAAGCGCCGTCTTCCTCATCTTCAGATGATGATAAGATGCCCGATGCCTCGGACACTGGGGACGGTGGCGCCGACGTATCTGACGAAGCCAGGTAGTCGGTCTCAGACGCCAAGATATGAAGAAGATGATATACCGCAGCAAATTCCAGGAGAGTAAGCTCGACAGGATCAAGCGGCAAGCGATTAAACCAATGGATCGCCTTTTGTACAGTGAACGCTTCTGGTAGGGAGGTATCGCCAGTTGCTCGAGCCTTGAAGATCGCTGCGATCATCGCGCATCGAACAGCTGTTGAGATCTCCTCGCGCACGGATATAGGTAAAGAAGAGTCGAGGAAATTAGACGCTTGGTTTTGTTTGTTTTTGCCTTTGTCCTTCGGGAGTGCGGCAAGAACGCTTCCGATGTTGGCCACGCGGTCCCGTTCAAAAAAGACGGCCTTCATGACCAGAGCGCGCGTATGGGCTGCAGATGGCTGGGGCGCTACATCAAGAGCGAGCTTGATCTTGGATTTGAAAACATCGCGGCTCTTCTTCGCGTCGGGCCCACCGGAGCTCGCTTCGAAGTACCTGAGAAGCGCCCTTTGAAGCAAGTGACTTGACCACCACGCAGCAAGAGCATCTAGTGAGGATTGAATCGCGGGGTCCTCCTCGACGACATCCAGCAGCGCTTCATCATCGTCGGTTCCTTCTTGTGTTGGACGATTCCAAGTCAGATTTGCTGCTCTCTGGATGATGGTATCAATCATGACAACGTCACAATCAATCTTCAGTAAGGTGGCCAAATGGCTCGGCAGCGCATCCGGATGATTCTTGGGTAATGCGGCGTTCATCTTGCGCGCGAGATCCCATTGATACCTTGCCAGACTGCGGGCAACATCATTCGATACGTTGAATGTCCACGAACCAGGCTCACCGACCCGCCACATCAGAATGCGGCAGTGGAGAGCTTTCAGCATCATCCTCATCGGGCTTCGAGGGAGTGTTCCTGCTGCAAATATCGTAAGGACCAGACGGCTTTTGCTGATTTCTGCATCGCCGCCGGCCAATTGCGCATCGATTGCAATGTCCCAAGTTTTCACGCGCCCTTTCTCATCTTCTTCGGTGACTCCAGTGGCCAGAGAATACAGTTTCCATCCTAGTAGACACCGCAAAACGTATTCAAAACATCGAGACGTAACAACGTACCATTCGTGGAAGAACCTATGGCGTGGTACACCGACTCGTTGAATGCTGGTAAGCCAGGCTTGTCGTCTGAAGTTGCATGACGAAAGTGTAACATCAGAAGCAACTTTGGAGGCGGAGTATTGCCGCCTCGGATCCGAATTGAACAGGTAGACGAAGACAATGAAAGCGCTACCAACGACAAGGATTGCAAGCAGTAGAAAGTGGGAAATTGCGCGCGCGTGCCAGGACGACCAGAAGTATTGAAACGCTGCGCTTGAGTAAACCTGTGACGGCAGCTGAACTCTATTCAGCAGGTTCAAAGGTACCGCCAGCAGCCCCTTTGCCGTTGATTCTGTTTTCTTTTCTGTGCCTAGGCCTTCGAGTACCATGAGCCCGGCGAGGGCGCCCAACATGTACTTATTGGGAAGGTGCGAACGCATATGTCCTCCGCCAGATTGAGACGAGTGACTGTCGGTCTTCTTATATTGGATGTACGATTGCGAGTAGGAGCTCTCATTTGAACCGGCAGCCCTCATACGTTTCCAAGCATCCGGAACTTTGATCAATCCTTCGGGAGGGTGTGAAGAAGTCGGGGAGTGATCACTCGAAACGTCCTCCGCGTGCGAGAACACACTTGGGGATGAGCTCGCCCCTGACTCGGTAGATACGGTGCAGTCGCTGGGTGATGACACCGACGCGGCAGAGGTAACAATTTGATCAGCGGCCTTATCCAACTGACGTAATCGAATCTTCAACGCGGTATTCTCTTCCTCCAATCTCTTGTTACGAATCTCGAGATGGCGGATGTACTCTGTCGCTTTCGAAAGGATAGACGCTTTGTTGAGTTTGCTGGCTGAGGTGACACCGTCGTCGTCATCATCACCGGAGTTGCCGTTTGCCTGCTTGTAGGAGGCCCGTAGACTGGGCACACTGTCTCTTAGCTCAGCAATCTTCTCGTTCAGATTGGCTCTGTATCTCTTCTCGATGACATTATGCGCTCGTTTCTTTGATGGCGCCTGTTTAGCTTTGAACATGCTTGTCATCGCAGATCCATCGTCATCGCTTCCAGTCTTGCGTTTGCGGCTGGCACCCGTCGACGAGGGGGGAGAGTTGGAGTGGACTGACAAGGCCCCCGCACCAAGATGATCTGGCTGAGGGGATACATTATTATTCAGATTTCCGCCCGGGAAAGATCCAAGCGAAGGCCTTTTGAAATCTAGAGATATATCAGGTGAGAACTCTTTGTGCATGGCGTCAGGTGCCTCCTGTCCGGAAGAGGCACTTGGCGATATAAAAGCAAGGTCAAATGGGGAGCTAGGCGAAGCATTTGCAGATTCTGGAAATGCTTGCTCGTCATCCCATCTCATCCACTGCGTCCAGTCCTGACTGGCATCGTCCGTACTTGTTTGGTCAACTGACATGGAATTTCCTTGAGATATTCTCCTCGTAGACTCGAGAGGCGAGAACAACTGGAAATCCCCACCAATGCCGGGGGTGGACATAGTGTTTCACTGCCGGTCTTGGACCATCAGATGAAATGAGTATAGTCTTGTACTATATTGAAGACAAGATTGTTAACAATGATAGCTATAGATGAATATCTTGATAAGACTGCGTACCTGTCAACACCTAAGACGGAGGGGGTCAAAAAGCCGGCTAACTGCGGGTTTAAGTTCAAACGATGATTGATTGATGATCGCCCCAAGTCGAACACGCTAATCAGGATACTAAAACTCAATTGTGGAGTCAAACCTGAATGTTGGCGCAGGCTGCAAAGATATGTGCTAATTGCAATGATAAAAGCCATACATTTCATACAGGAACAGGTGCAGGGTGTGAAGGCAAGAAGCTGGCTGAACACTCGCCTGAGATGATCAAGTCATGTGAGATAGACCTGACTCAACACTGTAAGGGGCCGAGGCTAGCGTTAGATGAGGATCTTATCGTCGCGTTGGGCTGTTGGTTGAGAGGAAGCGTGATCGTCGAGACTTCCAGCCTTCCACATGCAACCCCACAGTACTGGTGGTATCAAATTTCAAGTTCCTCCCTTCTGCATGAGTACTGCAAAGCAAGCCACCTGAGCAACTCAACGGTAACGAAGGCGAATCTGCTGCGCTGAGTAGTAAGCAGTTGTATCGACATCAATCTTTCCTTGAGCTGCACTGCAAGGAAACGAATGGCTGCCTGTGCCTGAGCATTGGGGCAACATGGGAATCTCGGCCGTGGCTCGGCGGAGCATCGTATGATCGCGGGAAGAAGCGATTCCGGCAAACCGAGAGGCGTGTTTCTGTATTATAGCGCGTGAACAATATGCGGCTGCGTTTGTTTTGTTTGACACCTCAATTACTGTATGTCCCTGTAATGTTACCTGCTTTCTTGTTTGGGGATCTTGACCAATCGCTGTCGAAGCCGTTTCGTCTTCTTACATCATCGCAATCACTGCTGTAAATAACCAGGTCAATTGAACTATCTTCGGAGTACCTGTATCTGACTCCATTGGAACGGTATCAACCTGGAGATAATGTGCAGAGTCAAACTATTGACGCCGTCAGGATATCGCACATATGTACAGGGCGTGCTTGAGCCACAGACAAAGGACGGCAGGGCCTATCACCAGCTCGATGTCCATCAAACAATCACAGGCACTTCAAGGCTTCTTATATTTGGGATACTCTGCGACCCAAGCCTTGATTTGCGCCACTTCTTCATCAATCACCTTCTGAACACCGGCATTCGCCTTTCCGTAGGCCATCCATTGATCTGAGCAATGCATCCCATCCGGAATCACATGTACTGGCACTTGTTCTGTGGGATGAAGAGGTCCTCCAGGTCTGAATTTCGACGAAACTGAGGCGTCCCTCCAGGGGTCGAACTGACTGCAGAAATGTTAGCTTGATCAAGCCTTACGGTTAGAAGACGAACCCATTTGTCCAGATCAGACGTGTAGTGTTGGTCAAGTCCCAGCCCTTGGTCCACTTATTCACGTCTTCAGCGGTCTTGCCTTTGGCGCTACCGAATGTATAGCCGTTGACTTCTGGGAAGTACCCGGAGCATTGTCGTTGCCAGTACTCCGCCGAGACGGTCCTGGAGACAATGGTGAACTCATGCTTGGGTGCACCACTACAATCACGGGGATTAGCAGGTTACCCGCTTCCATGGGATTGGTACCATACTCTTGCCAGTAGAAGAGAGGTTCATTGCATAAAAACCAGGTCCACTGCTTATTGATGGTATTGTTGACGGCCGTGTCGGTGTATATGGGGCTGTCAAGGTCATATGTGTCGTAGCAGTCAACTGCGTATTTGTCGGTCCAATATTTATATTTGGCGCAGGCTATTCTGGTCAGTTTCTGAGGGGCCTCGAGTACGTATCCAGGGGACTTACACCCAGGCAAGTACGTTGAATTGAACCACGACGCATAGCCTTGCAGTGCTTTCTCCAGACCGACGCCTTCCGGTCCAGGAACGGACTTTGCCCCCGGCGTCACATTCTAATACCGCGTGAGACGACCATTCGCACAGTCGGAGCCTCGAGTCGGAAATGGACCTCACCTCTACTGCATCGCAAAATTTATAGAAACGGGAGTACCCCGAGACGAAATTCATATCCTGCCAAAGCCATGGTCCGTTCGTAATTGCTCTGAGACTCATTAGCACCAAGGCATGATTCACCTTTCAAAGAAGGCGAACATAACATACGCTGCAAAATCGTCGAAATGCTTGAGGGCTCCCATCCCGAACATCTCTTTGATTTCCTGCTGACGCTCCATATCCCCTGACGCATAGACGTGGTCAATATACTCCACCACGCGATTGACATCCTTGCTGCAGTTCTTAGGCATGCCCTCGACAACGGGGACGAAGTATTGCCACTACACATGTTAAAATGTGCTTTGTTCAAGAACGTCTTGCTATCACGTACGAAGTCATAGATGGCCTGCACAGGCGCACTCGATGCATGGTATGCCCAGAAGGTCCCTGGAGCAATTGATGCCGTCCACGCGGCTAGGGCACCGCTGTAGGATCCCCCAGACATCACCCATGGCTTCCATGGAACATCAGTCAGCATGCGGATTGCGTGGTGGTCCATTTTGACAACTCTACTCACCGCATTATCAGCGTTGCTGCTGTGGTCCTTGTCGAACGGAAGGTTCACGGTCTTTGCAAAGTGAACAAGGTCCGCAATCGACTGCTCCAGATTCAGGTATTGGAGCGTTTCAGCCGTCAAATTGGGGTACGGTGATGAAGCTCCCCAGTAGCGATCTGGGGACTTGATGAGCACTTTGCCAGAGCTTGCAATCGATTGACGATCAAAAGAACTCACGCTCAAGCAGAATAACTGCACCCCCGATCTCTTCAGCAAAGCGTCCAACAATTGTCGCATTGGTCAAGAATCCGTCGTAGTCCGCAGCGTCCGATTCACCCGGTGTAAACAAAACCACCTTTTCCCACAGTCAGCAACGCACCTCAAGCACTAGCCACCAACCGAACACCGAACGGGAAATACGCACAGGAGAGCCAGGACCAGCCCAATATTCCGGATTATACCAGTATCTCTGGGAAAATGTCCCCAGACCAGGGTTATTATGATCAATATACTGCTCGAATGTCGCGTTTCCAGAGCGCAAGGCAACTTTCGCTTTCAGCGCAGGAATCAAAGGCGCCCTAGGCATGAGGGCAGAGGCCAACTCAAGAAGACAAGACGCAGCAAGCGTCAGCGAAGCAGCAACAGTCCGCATCCTGGCGATCAACCTTCCTAATCTGTACCCTCAAAACTACAATCACAGAAAGGAATCAAAAACAAAAAAGAAAGGACAAGCCATTCTTATACCCAGTCGCTGTGCCGCCCTCGGCTCGATACTGCTCTAATCCCCTAGTGAGTACAAGGTGAGGGGAAGCAAGCAAAGCATGCAGCTGCTGCAGACATCGAGGCGAGACACAGAAGTGTTAATTAATTGCATCTCGGCTAGTGCATGCAACCATTCTACATTGCAGGATTTGCTCTTGGCAATTAGCGCTGCTGGCATGTAATGTAACGACAAGCACTCCCCTTGCAGGGTTAGTGTTGATCCAATCGGTCAATTTACAAGACTTGGCAAGCATTGCGCTGGTGATCGCAGTGCGGACTGATTCCGTTACAGTCCAATGTCTCGAAGAGTTCCATAAGATCTTGTCTCTTCAGATATCTAGGCCCTTGGGTACGTTGGGACCTTGATGAGGTCTAAGGTACTCCAGAGGACAGCGCTGGAAAACTTCAGTACGGTCATAATTCATCAACCACCAATTTTCCACCCAAGAGTAGCATCATTGAAAAGCCGTGTTTCTAAAAGGTTTTCATATAGCAGTAAACCTTGACGAGTCCCTTCAAATCCTTCAGGATCTGAGACATTATGAAGAGATTTCTTAGCAGTATCTAAATTGAGACCTTGCTGCACTGTTCTAAGACCTTCCTGACCTGCATGTCCGAGGCTGAGCTGATTTCCTGACACGTGTCGAGTCTGATTGATTGCTGCGTCGACAGAGTATTTACTGGTTCGATTTGTTGCAGACTGCCGTTCATTCAGCAAGAATTCAGGTCACTGCTCAGGAAGGGAGATTGAATCATGCGGAAACAAACAAGAGGAATGGCATACAAGCAGCAGGCTACGGATACAGCATGCCGCCCCACAGCGATCAACAAAACAAATAAGGTACCCCGGCGGAGGTCCGTGGTTGCGTGATAACGATAAGGGGATGTAACCCTTTGAGTAATCGAGTTCGACAAACTTCTGGTTCGGCACGCAGACACAACTAGTTGCATTTATTACCCAAGTCATTACTTAAGAGTACAGAGTCTAGACTTCGTGATTCACATATACACCATTGCAAACGAGTACAAATTCGCAAACGCGACTCGGCGACATCTGCTGTCTACCAGCCGCTCTCCAATCCCCAGGCCTTAACGCGGAATGAAGTCTTCTTGTTCAGATCGCTGCCAGAGACGGTCAGGGTATCCAGCGGATGGGTTGGGTAGAAACTCATCGTTCCGGTTTGGATGCCCTCAGCGAGGGAGACCTCGAGCAGCGAGCGGTCAATGACACCGGAGAAGGTGAATTTGTCGTGGTCGAAGGACTTGACGGTTGTGTTGAAGACGGGCCAGTAGCCGGTGCTGTTGGCCTGGGTGAAGAGATGCGTGCCCGCACGGTTGATCCAGAAGAAGCCGTTGTCCAATCTGAGACCGCCATCGACGTACTCGCCCGAGGTTGAAGATGTGAAGTTGAAGTACACCTGGCCCGTGGCGCCAGAGGACGGGATCCCGTTGATCTTGACATCGAAAGAGACGGCGTTGGACTTGACGTTTTTGAAGTCGAAGGTCACATCGCCGTTCCGCGAGCGCTTGCCCTTGAGTTGCTTTCCGCGGACGGAGTCCATGTCGTCGAATGGTTCGTTGGTGACGACCCAGGAGTCGTCGACCTTGGTCAGGGTGTGCACTTTGGGCAGCGACATGGAGCCTCTCCAGCCTTCGAGCGGACCGGTGGGCACCTGCTGGGTGTAGTTCCAGTTGCTGGCCCAGCCGATGGAGAGCGGCGGCTCGTCGTCGGGGATGCCCGAGTACCACTGCGAGGCGTAGTTGTCCTTGGCGAAGTCAAAGAGGGTCTCGCGGGAGGTTTCCGAAGTGAAGTGAGATCCATTGAACGTTCCAACGACATAGTAGGTTCCCGAACCGCCGAGTGGCGCTCCAGGGTTGACGGAGATGAACAGCACCCACTTGGTGGGGTCCTCCGAGTCGGCGCCGTCGTCGACTGAGAACTTGACGAGGTTGGGGCATTCAAACTGCGTTCCTGGCAAACCAGACTGGGTGAAGTTGGAGGCATGCGTCCATTCCTTAAGATTGGGCGAGGTGTAGAACCCAATGACGCGATCGTCCGCATAAGCAACGGTCATGACCCATTTCTGCGTCTCGGGATGCCATGCAACCTGCGGGTCACGGAACTGGCTGGAGCCAATGTTGAGGACCGGGTTGTTCTCATACTTGGTGAAAGTGTACCCGCCGTCACGGGAGTAGGCGATGTCCTGCGTCTGCAGCGTCGCAGTGGCCAGCGTGTAGATGGCCACTACACCGTCGTCCTGGTCAGGGAAGAATCCCGAGGTGTTGTTGCTGTCTACCACAGCCGAGCCGGAAAAGATCCACTCGTCCGGCTTACTAGGGGAGATGGCAATGGGGTGGTGGGTCCAGTGGTACAAGTCCTTGCTGGTGGCGTGGCCCCAGTGCTGGTTACCTGCAACAATCTGGGAAGGATTGTCTGCGCCGCATTAGCACAGGTCTGCATCTATAGGGATCGATTGAGCTTACATTGGTAGTACAGGTGATAAACCTCTCTCTTGTGATCGTAGAAGAGTCCGTTGGGGTCGTTCATGAACTGAGAAGGAGGGGAGAAGTGAACCTGAGGCCGCAGAGGCCCAGAATAGTTGGCTGTTTGCGCCGCTGCCACTGCAGCGGACAAGAGAATGAGAGGGACACGCATTTTGCTTGTCTGATTGAAAGATTGATGCCTCACATTCCTCACTGAAGCAGGAGGACGAGGGGGTATTTATATCCCACCGTCCACAGCAGTAGGGGTCTGAACTCCAGATTGTTAGTAAAAGCCGCAAAGACCCCAGACGGGGTACTCCAGTCCACATGGCCAACGTACTAGGCAGGATCAAATTAGATGCAATCGAGAAACATACCGAAGCTAGAATGGGTCCCCGGGATACGGCTCGGAGAATTGCACAGAAGCTTCCCCAATTCTTCGGCTTGTGCCGACCAGTAGCCCGATTTACTGTCCGACTCTCCAGAGATAGCTAGATACGTTGCAGACGAGTGGGATACTGGTTGCACCAGTCTATCAGTGTCGCAAATTTAAGCCGATTCCACAGAGTCTAGTACTTGAATTGAAGAGGATACTGCAGACCTTGCAGTAAGTCTCATACCAAAAATATCTTGCCGTCAACCCCGGCCCGGGAGTGACGTCGTTGAGGTTAGCATTCAGCTTGGCGAGATGAAATATCAGAATTCGGGATCTCGTCGGTGAAACCTCGTAGCCACATGCACTGACTCTGCATTTGACAATCCCGCTTGTCGTGTTCGGGAAGTCAAAAAAGATTCTTTCATCTAAGCTTGATCTCTGACCCCCGCAGTCCCGGCCTGATTTCGGATTTCGGAGGCGTGTCGGAGAAATTTCCCCACAGTCAGCGAATAACTCCTTGGGGACTGACGCTATTGACATTCTAGAGAGGTACTAAGCGCGGTAGTTTCTTGGTCCCTCGATGGGATTTGCTCATCTACCGGCAATTCACGAAAAACAAGTCAAGGTGGTGACCCCGGCCGGAGTATCGTCGTAGTAAAATCGCAACTATATACTTCTCTCAATCTCCGCAACCTCCGCCATCACCTCCCGCACCATCTGCTTCACCCCTTCACTCGGCTCCTCATACGGCGTCCGAGGCCTGAGCTTCTCCTCTGCCCCCTCAATCCCCGCCAGCGACGCACTAAACACCGCCGTGGCATACTTGGTCGCTGCAATCCCACTCTTACACGGACTCTCCGCCAGGGCTGCCTTGCGCTGCAACGCCATTGCCTCATCCACCTTCCCAGCCCTGTACAGCTCATACACCTGCGCCGCGGTACGCGGAAACACATTCGCAAAAGCTGCAATGCACCCCGCCGACCCAACACTCAGCCCCGCAAGCAGGAAATCCGACTGCCCCCCATAAACCGCAAACTCGTCCTGCGAGAACGTCGCCGCCAGCCGCGTGATCTTCCCCACAGACGCACAGGTGAGCTTGACTCCCACCACATTCGACACTCCGTCGGCACGCGCCGCCGCCGACTCGCGCACGATGGCAGTCATCGTCTCGGAATCAATATCAACCCCGTTGCACACGCCAGGGAAATTGTAGATGATAACAGGCAGCGGAGCCCGCGCCGCTACATCCGCGAAAAACCGCTTCACGACGCTCATCGTCGTCGCCTTGCCGAAGTAGGCGGGCGGGAGCACGAGGAGGTAGTTCGCGCCCGCAGCCGCCGCGTCGGCTGCTAGCTCCAGCGTCTGCTTGGTGGAGTGGGCGCCAACGCCGGCCATGAGGGGGTAATCTGGGCCGACGGCCTCGCGGGCGGCGGCGATGAGCTGGGCGCGCTCTTCGCGGGTGAGTAGGAAAGCCTCGGAGTTTGTGCCGAGGATGACGAGGCCCGCGAGGCCGGTTTTCGAGAGGTAAGCGTAGTATTCCTTTTGGGAGTCAAGGTCGAGGGTGTCGGTTGTGTGGTTGAAGAAGGTTACGGCGGGACACCAGACGCCTGGTTTGGGGACATGGGGCTGGGGTGAGACTGCGGGGGGTTGTGAGGAGCCCATGGTGGAGTAGTGTTGTAATTGCTGAGGCATAGGTAGGGCGGTTCAAGTTTGAGAATGAAGTTCATAGGCACAGAAGAGTGGTAGAGCAGGGGTTTTATACTTGGTATAGCTACAGACGTGAATGATTTACCGAAAAGAGCGGGGAAATCGGGAAAAGAATCCGTGTCGGATGGCAACCCGAGTACCTCTCTAGGAAACAACAGAACAGATCAATAAGCATGTTATGATTCCAGGTTATCCTATCAGGGAATAACGGAAGGATAAGGAGATCATCCAATGCGCTCTTAAGGCATTAATTGGCAGCTGGCCTGATATTATCATAACATGGCCAGTTGCGGCTATCATAGCTTGACAGACTGAAACAACAGCCAGAAGGTCCTCTTGCATACTTTACAGAAAAGCTACATGACCTTGATCGCTTGCAATCTCTTACTATTTGGTGATTCTGCTAGTGCTAACCCGTCTCTTAAACACCCGAAAGGTCATCAAACTGGTCGTATCATTCTTCAAGACAAGGTTGAGCTTATGAATAGACGAATATATAGCAGGTTAATGCTTGACAACGTTAGTAAAAATTCATCCCCACATATGGCTCTACTTACCGTGACATCCTCCCATTTCTCCCAGCCGCGTCCCTTTACCGCCGCCAGTTCTTCCATTGTATACTGTCTACCTGTCGTGAAGTAGCCGGCATTGATCTTTGCATCAATCTCAACACGCGAATCGCTCGGTATCAAGTCCTCCGGGATTGGCACGCGCTCGATAATCTTAATTCCCGACTGGACGATGGCGTCGTGCTTCATGTTGGACATGGACAACATGCGGTCGATCTTCTTGATCCCAAGCCAATGGAGGATGTCGGGCATGAGGGCTTGAAAGCGCATCTATACGCGAGTTGGTACAACGTCAATCGTCTTTTGAATGGTGTAACTCACATCTCGCACTCCAGCAATGTTCTCTGTCCGAGTAAAATATTTGTCGGCCGTGTCACCACCCCGCTTGCGAGCATTGTATACAAGATACTTGACCACTTCACCCAGAGCACGGCCTTCCTTTCGGAAATATATAACAACCCCACTGCCCCCGTTCTGAGCTTCGCGAATTGCTTCCCGAATACCGAACGCCAGATACGGCCGGCATGTGCAAATATCCGACTGGAAGACATCACTTCCATTACATTCATCGTGAATCCGCAGCGCCAGCTTCACATTCTCATCAGACACACGCTCTGGCGGGCCAAAGATGTAAACAGTCAACCCCCCAATAGGAGGAAGGAAAACTTTCAAATCAGGCCGGGTGATCAACTCCGGATAGCTGCCCCCCGTGTGTTCGAACAGGGTCCGCCGCAGCGTCCCCTCATCAACCCCAAACCGATCCGCAACACCAGGCAAATACCAGACCGGCTCAACCGCAACCTTGGTAACGCGCACCTCCCCCGAAGAGTCCACCACAATCGACCCATCGACATCCAACTGTCCATTCTTCACGGCCTCCCCGATCTCCGCCAGTTTCATATTCGCCCGCGTAACAGCCATCGTCGGCCGGATATCCCAGCCCGCCTCCAACTCCTCCCGGAACTGGTTGACGATATCATGTCCAAATGGGTCCATGGAGACGATCTTCGTCTTGTCCGCCCACGAAGGCTGCCAGGGGAAGTTGAACGTGGGCTCACTGTTCCGAAAGTCTGGGCGGAAGTTCACGTCCAGGTCTCCTGCCGCGATCGCCAGCGCGTTGTAGATACTGTAGCTGCCGCCGTGGGCGCCCATGGCGTTCCGTCGCTTGAGCATCCCCGCGCCGCGGGTGACGATGACCGGACCACGGGATTTGGCGTCGGGTGCGCCCCATACCAGGGGGACGGGATCGACGCCGCTTTGGCCGGGGTAGGTGGTTAACTTAGGGGGGGATTTTAGTTCAAACTGCGTTGTTCCAGATTGCATGGGTGTGTTGGTACGTACCACAATGTGCTTGCTGTAACCAGTTGACGGGAACGTAGGGGATGTAGGGGACTGGATGCTCGGAGCATCCGGCATGGTCGATGTGGTTGTGTCCCCCATGTTGTAGGTCAGTGTAGAGATGAGAAGATAGAAGCAGGTGAAGATAATGTTCTTGGAAGAGCAGAGTCAAGAGATGGCGAGAGAAGGAGGAATAAGACGAGGGTTGTCCTCCTGCATCTGCATGTGACTTGTTATCTCATTCATTAGGTTCTCTCCGCACCTTATCATCAGGCATCCCGGCAGATACCCCTCTTTTCCATTCTTTTTCAGACAGGTTGCATCTCACCGCTAGACTCATGGATATTCTTCATATCTGTACAATGAGTTGGTCTAGTAGCCAATTGCCCAGGAACAAGTCCGACAGTCCGAAACTTGCGACCACTAATCCAGAAGCTTGACATATCCTTATCAGCTACAACGAAGGATCGGAGATATCCGACCCCACAGTCCCGCTATGACGGCATCACTGACCATGGCGCCTGATATACGGAACCCCGAGCTAGATATATCTCAACAACACGACAAGGATTGACAGGTCAATGGTATCTATTATTCACCCTCCATGAGTTTGTAGGCATCAAAGTTTACTCTCATCACTGTGTACACGTAAAACATAGCCAAAGTCATTTATTCGTCGGACAATAGACAACGCCGGAACAAGCCGTCCTCCTCTATTCCTTCCCGCCGGCGAATTTTGGGTTGGCGCGCGAGTTTTTGATGGTCTTCTTAATAATATCCTCCACTTCATCCCAGTCCTTGGTATCAACGCGCTGAATCTCACAGTTAAAGTATGTCTGAATCTGGTTGAGCATTTCCCATTCCTCGCGGTTCGACACGAATGAGATAGAGACACCGACACGACCGAAACGGCCCGTACGACCGATACGGTGCAAGTAAGTCTGGAAATCTGCCTGTCGTCCAGGCACGCTGGGCTGATGGAGTTCTGGGATATCCTGGAGGGGGTTAGACACGTAAGACACAATAATCGTGTTCCAAAGCGAGAACTCACATAGTTGATAACCATAGAGACAGTGGAAACGTCAATTCCTCTGGCAAGAACATTGGTCGCGATCAAGACCTTGGCTTCGCCTCTGCGGAACTGATCGATGATCGCGTCTCGCACTGAGGGATCCCTCTCAC